CACAGGAAGAATGGGCCAAGGGAAGGGGATCACACAGGCCCTGGAAGTGAGTTTGGGGACACTGGGGCAGGGGATTCATGGTATCAGGATCCTTGTCCACAGGGAGAAACACAGCTTATTGTGCCAATCCTTCTCTGGAAGGCAGACATAGTCGGAAGATAGCTGAGGCTCACCCTCTGCAGTTTAGGACTCAGGACAGGGTGGCCATTCTGAGGGCATGTAGAAAGTGCACTCAGAGGCTGAGCTATTCAGTTTTCCAACAGAGAATGATTTTCCAGCTTCTCAGACAATCCATGTTCTCTTCCCAGTATTTACATCTTCTTGGCCTGTGGGCTGTTACTCAGGAAGGTCATATGGACAGAGCCTTATTTGGAGGCAGAATCATAGACTCTGGTCTGGGGCATATTTACACAGGAGATGTAAATCCAACAAACCAATCTCCACTGCACACATAAGGCTTTCTCAGCAATTTCCAACTTGTTTGCACCAACCCGAATGTAAACCTGAGACTCGCCCTGCTACAGGCAAACACTAGAGCAGAAGCTGAGTTTGGCAGCTGAGGCTTAAGGGGTCAAATTGAAAGTGTAAATACTTTCATCATATATTTTGAGAGCTAGTTTCCATTGGGTAGGATTTCAGGACATTCTCTTTCTAGAATGCAAAAATTAAAAACAGAGAGAGAGAGAGAGAGAGAGAGAGAGAGAGAGAGAGAGAGAGAACTATTTACTCTAAAGACCCTACTGATATTCTAGAGGGCACCGACAGAAAGTATGTAGTCAGAAGGTCTGAGCTCAGTTCCCAAGAACAGGTCACCATGTATTCATGTCACTGAACTACCCCTTGACATTCCCTGTGCCATGGATTGGAGTTGCTGGACCAACGGAGCATGGTCCTTTGCAGCCTGGGAGGCCACACAGATACATGAATAAGCAGGTTAGTGTGACAAATGCTGAGTGTGGTGAACAACTGCAAAGTGCTGTGGGGTGTGGGGAAGGGGGACTCAGCTGTGAGGTCCTGGATGTGTTACAACTCTTCGCTGAGTTTCAATTTCCTATGCCATCATCTTGTTTTCAGGAGGCAAGTGTTAAGGGTAGCACCTGGCTCAAAGCTGCTACTTATGAAACAGACATTGTCTTGAATGGGAGTTCTTGAATTTTCAAACACATTCACGTATCTGTATCTAATCTGCAGATCTACCAGAGCCCTTCTTTCATTTTGCTTATAAACTGAGGTTTCCTTGAATCTCTTAATTTCTGTAGCCTGGGGAACCCCATCATTTCCCAAGCTTTGGTAACATGGATGGTCATATTTTCTAAGTCCTCTTTCCTCTAGTCCCTCCTTTCCCATGGGGTATTTTATTTGGCCCAAGGCCTGCAGGTCTCAGCCTTTTCTAGAATCTACGGGGGATCCAGTCACAGTAACCATCTCTTTCTCTGGTATTTTGAGGTCCTCGTTGGCCACCTGAGGATCGTGCTTGGGACTGTCACATTGGGCTCCACCCAACCTTCAGATTTTATTTACCCCCATACCTCTCCTAGTTAATCCAAGAGCCCAGTGAATTCACTTTTCTAGAGACTCTGCATAACTGTATCAAGGCCCTGGGAATGCAGCTTCTACTCCAAACTGGCTTCTTAAGGCATTTCTCCAAGAAAGCAATTCTAAGAGGAATACCTTCTGTTAGACAAAAGCAATTTTCTCTCTCTTTACAGTTCATTTTGTGCTCATTATCAGCCCTCCGAGTTTAGTGTAATAATTTCTTCTTTATAGATGATGAGGTGGTGGCTCAGAGAAGAAGTATCTTTACTCAAGGTCACACAGCTAGTGAATACCAGTCTGGCTTCGAGCCCTACTCTGGCTTGTACCACTGTACCCTGGGACCTGTCTTGGCAATCAGTCACACATGCTCTTGAGGGAACAAATGGCTTTTCCCGTGTTCTAATCTTCTTGCTCTGGGACAGTCTCTCTGCTGTGTGGCAGGCTTATGACTTCCTCTGCCCTCTTTGAAAAGGCGCCCCTGCCTTACTCTTCCTTTAAGAGAAGCAGGGATGTGCACACCTGCACAAGTGTGTGGCAGGGACTCTGGAGACCTGCCCAGCGGCCATCCTAGCAATGAATGTGTTTAAGTCTCCACATTGCCATCTCTAGTGGGTCTCAAGCTCAAGCTCCTGAGGATCAAGCCCTTTCTGTCTTCCAGTTTCTAGCTTTCTTACCTCAGTCTCCCCAGTTCATTGATGACTGTGACATGCCTTAACTTTACGTTGTATCTCTGGCCTCAGTCTCTGGTGGTGTGATGGTGCAGAGAAAACACAGAGGTTTTGGATGCTCACAGACTCCAAATCTCAGCTCTCCCACTCATTGGTTTTAAGCTTAATTGTTTCATCTCACAGAGTTTTGGTTTCCTCTAGGATAGGACTAGTAATGCCTCCCCCACAGGTTGTTGTGAGATTTACCAAATGAGCATGCATCCAGGCAACCAAAAAAAAAAAAAAAAAAGAAAGAAAATGAGGCCCTTCTCACTTTGCTCACTAGGTTTGGGGTCAGCCAGAAACAAGTTCAGAGCCCCACGTTGCCACTTGCTAGTCTTGCTGCTCTACGCAAGTTTCTGGACTTCTCTGTGCCTCAGTTTATTCGGTTGTTAAGTGGGATTGGTACTCCGTCCCTCCCAGGGTTGTCAGATGATTTACAAGCCAGAACCCAGCACAAGAGGCTGCTACATCATTGGTATCTTGCTTTTATTATTTTGTGTGTGCTTTTGAGTCCATAGTGTAGATCTCAGAAATTATATTTAACATAGGATATGGTACATTTTAATACGTTTGACAAAATGTGGTCTTAGCCTTAGACTTAAATGGTTCTTTAAGGCTTCTGTTTTCACTCCCTAATGAGAGGAGGTGAGAGGGCCATGAGGATGGTTATCTTCTTGGACTTGGCATGAGTTATGAAGGCACCCAGGGTAGGAGAATGAAGAAGAGGAGTAGGCAGCTCCCTCCTAGGAGAGCTCTGACATCTGAACAAGCAGAGAGGCTGCAGCTGGGCAAGTCCTGATGGGGATGCTCAGAGTTCCTAGGCCAGCAGCTTTTGCCATCTCTGTGCTTGGACATCTGTACTCATTGTAGCCTGTGCCTCTGTGAGGGGTTTAGCCAGTTGGTAGCCACACCCAATCATAACCCTCTAACTATGGGAACTGCACTTTACACCTTTCATTCCAATGTTCTGCCCATGGGCCCTTAGCAACAGCTCATCCAATGTCACATTGTCAAAGTCACCCACTTGATTTGGGGATGCTGGCTCTTTTCACAAAGGACCTGTGAGCATGAATAATTGGGCTGTAAGAGTGACTGCAAATCTTCCTGTTGATTAGGGACCAGAGCTGCCCACTTCCTGGCAGCCTCATGTCTGCAACCATGGAAGCAGCTGTGGAATGGCTCACCAGGTTCCCTGGCATGTATGAGCATCCTTCTCAAAAGAGGATTCCTTTGAAGTGTGTTTCTTGGTAAGGCTCTGACCCAGGATACAGGACATTTTCCTCATAGGGACAGATCTGGAAACAGCTGGCACCTAGACCCCCTAGCCCCACTCCTTATTGCTGCCTTGGTGCAGAGGTAGCCCTACCCCTTAATGCTCTTAAGGGATTGGAAATGTAATTAAATCCTAGTTTGTCATTTTACATGAGAGTGTTACCCCGCACTATCCCTTATAGGACATCCAGGGTAGATACAACAAACAAAACACTACTGTTATTTTTATTATTTTATTACTATTCCTACTACTGCACCACTGCCACCACCAAAAACAAAAGTCCAGCTACCATATGCTGAGTGATTCTAAAAGAATTTAAATGCAATTATAATTGCTTTATAAGAATCTCATCTAACTGCTCCCACATTCACGCCCCCCTCCATACAGTTAGCTACTAATACCATTTTACAAATGAAATAAAAATGTACCTACTTTATAGGTAAAGTTCTATAAGTAGTATGGGGAAAAATATTCCCCATTAGATTAAAATTAATCTCTAGCCTGTGCTTAACTATTCCCAGCTCAGAGAATCTGACAGAAGAATTTGTTGAGGTGCCAATCAAACAAGAAGTTATACCTCTACCATAACAAATACCTAAATCTTAACATAGAATGAGTTTTACACATGGGGATTTTAAAACAAAAATCTTACTTGTTATAAGCTGTTTTGTACAAAAACATCAATTTGTATAAGATATAGACCAAATATTTATAATAAAATAAGACATAGTATTCTATCTGAGGATCCGGGACCAAGATCAGTGGGAAAGGATGGAGTGGCAGACAGCATTGGACTAAGAAGGCATGGTCATATCTGCTTCTAGAATAATGTTCCTGTAGGGAACAGCTTGGAGGAAAGTAAAGAGGAGAGAGAAGGGTGGAGGGCCATTGTGGGGGGCTAGGACATGATGGTTGTGTTACCTTCGAAAACAGAGGGAGTCCCAAGGGACAGTCAGTGGGTCATGGTCACCATGTGCATAGACTGGATACTGCATGTCAAGGATATGGTTCAGTTTACAGCTTGTGCATTCAGATGCTGTTAACAAGGGGAGGCTGATCTCTAAGAGGAGAGGGAGTGGCTGAATTAACATAAGGAAGTGGGTCAGAACTCTCGTAAGTACATCCCAGAAATGTGTGTGCTGTCAGTGATACCCAAGGTAGTTTTCAGCGTCACTCTGATGAACTCTTAAGAATGTAACATGTTTGCGTTTATTTTTATGGTTAATATGTATTTATAGCAAGTGATTTCTGGCAAGTTTTCCCTTTATATATTTATATTTTCCTGTAGATACATGTTCTTAAATAAGAAAAAGGAAATTGATTTAAAGACTATATTTTAAATTGTACTGCGTGTGGCAAAAATCATGAAAGCAGTGATCATTGAGATAATTTTGGAAAAGCTGTTTTCCCCAGTTTTAGCAGAATGCTCACCCTGCCTTCCCAATGGTCTCAGAACCTTTCTGTGTGTGTGTGTCTTGCAGACCCAGTGCACGGCCCACAGAACGTAGAAATTGTGGACATCCGAGCTCGGCAGCTGACCCTGCAGTGGGAGCCATTTGGCTACGCAGTGACCCGCTGCCACAGCTACAATCTCACCGTGCAGTACCAGTATGTGTTCAACCAGCAGCAGTACGAGGCTGAGGAGGTCATCCAGACCTCCTCCCACTACACCCTGCGGGGCCTTCGCCCCTTCATGACCATCCGACTGCGGCTCCTGCTGTCCAACCCCGAGGGCCGGATGGAGAGCGAGGAGCTGGTGGTGCAGACTGAGGAAGATGGTGAGCAAAGGAGACAAGCTTACTTGGGAATGGGGCATATGGAATCTGCTCACGGGACCATGCCAGTCAGTTATGAGGTTTTCCTTTTTCTTGTAGCTTTAATTTTCCCCCTTTTTTGTATCTGACTCTTTCCAAGGTCTTCACTGAAGGACCATGCAGGCTGTGCACTGCACAACACAGAGGGTGCTGTTCTCATATAGTGGCAGCACCACCATAGACATGCACTCAAGTTTGACCTTTCTGTGTCCTCATCCCTCTTCTCACTTTGCACCACCTTTTCCACCCAAGGGTCAACCACAATGATGCTTCCCAAAAGAAAAAGTGTAAATTGTGTTGTTTAAACATGTTGAGTTGGGGACTCAGATGATTCCGGATCTGTAAGAATTAAAAGAAAACAATACATACAAAAAACTTAGTACACTCAGTGAATGCACCCAGAACTGAATGTTTATCTGTCCTATAAGCATCTCAATCTCTAAGTATTCAATAATAAACTGATCTCCTCTTCTTATTGACTTCTCTTCCTGTGTTCCTCATTACAATGAACTGCATCTGGTGACTCATGATAGAGACCTGCAAGTCAGCCTAGGAGTTGCCTTTCTTCCACCCCACTCCACCTTGCACCCCAAAAGGTTCTAATGAGTCTGTTCCTGCAGTTTATCATCCCATGTGCCTCACAGAGTGGGACTCCAGCCATGTGTGCTTTTAGAAAAGAACTTTTCCTGCCTTTCTGTCCTTACCCTGTCATTTCTCCTGCTTAGAACGATCTCTGCCTACTTGATTGCAGGACAAGCCATATTAATCTTTCGATTCTTTGCTCAAATGTTACTCCCTCCAGGAAGCTTGTCTTGACTGCCCCAAACCACTTGGGTGTTCCTTCCCAGGATGCCACTGCCATTTGGATGTACCTTGAACCACAACAGTTACCTTGTCAATGAGATAGAATTTACCAGCTCCCAGACTGGTTGAAGAAGCTCTTCTCCATAGTTGTATTTGGTTTCCTTCCAGCCAGGCTGCTTCTGGCCTTGTAGAGGTCTTCAGTTAGTCAGAATCAGCCTCTGAGATGAAGATTTGCGTGCAAGTGATTAAGGAAGGTTTCCCAGGGGAGACCAGGAAGAGAGTCAGGAAGTAAGACAGGGAATGGAGGAAGCTGAGATGCAAAGTCAAGTCTAGCAAAGGGAGGCTGAAACCTGAGCCTATAGAAGAGCTCCACAGGGTCACCTACACATTGTAGATGTTCCAGGTCACCACTTGCTTCCAGCCAGTAGTGAAGGTCTGGGGTGAGGAGGGAAGACTGGGAAGTAAAAACGACATTAACTTTTGTCTCTCTGCACATGCAGGCAAAGGGTAGGGCAGCACAAAAATGGTAATGGTATAAAGGGATCTGACAGAATCTAGCCAGAGTGCTGTCATTGTCAGCTGAGTGGGGCCAACATCCTGGGAGACTCCAATTAACCTTACAGCATCAAGACCCTCACCATGCTAATGCTGTCTTTTACTCTTATTTCAAGTCAGCAGGTCCCAAGGACCCCTGAGTTATGGATCCAGACCCATATCCTCAGACACAAAGGTCCTATAAGGAGATAAAGGAAAGAGTACTAGTCTCTTCTCACCCTTTCCTCCATTCTCAAGTCACCATATTTGATCCTAGGGCTGGAAGTTTTACACAGTTCACCACCTGCAAGTCATGCCTCTCCCTCAGCTCCTTCAAATTCTTCCTGGAAGCCACCGTTTTTGCAACCCCTACATCCTGGACATTGGGTTATCTTTGGAGGTAGCAGTGGCAGTGAGGACACAGCCTCTGTCACCTCGGCACTGCCCCTTGCTGGCCTTTCAATAACCTCAGAATTCTGTGGGTACAGCTCTTTCCCCATCCAACATGATACTTTTCTGAGAGAGGTAGATGCCCTGCCTCCTGGGAACCCATCCCCACCCAACCTCCAACAGAGCACGTTAGGCACCTCATTCTGCCTTCATTCTGAAGTCTAGAGCTGTGGCCCTGGATGTGACTTCTGATAAAATTTCTAGAGGTTTCCCTAGGTCTGGCACCCTTGTTTCAAAATGTGCACCCCCTTCCTCCAGCAAGTAGGATAATGCAGTATTGGAGACAGTAGGCTCTGGAGCCAAGTATGTGGAGAGTAAGTTGTTTTAACCACTTCACATCTTGGTTTTCTTATCTATAAAATGGAATTCATTTTAGTACCTACCTTATAGGTCATTGTACATATTTAACAGGATAGTATGGTTTTTTAAAAATTGTATGAAAACCCAACAGATTGTAAGTTTTTAAGAAATGTAGCTACTACATTTTCAATAAGTCACAGGAAAAAAAAATGTCCTGACAAAGGAACCTCCTGTACAAGCAATGCTGAAACCACCTAGTAGCCCTAGGAAGCCTCTCACATTCTAGATATTTACTCTAACTGGTGGTAGCAGATACAACATAGATTCTCAAGGCATGGTGAGGTGCATGGTACTTGATTTGAGAAGCAGAGTCAGAGCAAAAAGGGTTGTATAGTGACTATTATTTACAGGGAATTCTGGTGTTAGAGAAGAGCCACTGTTGAAAATCAGTATGGAAATTGAGAACATGGATGATAAGGTTGGCCAAGGAGCAACATGGGCATTTCTTCCAGGATACCATGGCCACCTTGGACAGCTTTTTGAGCATTACCTACCTGTGCACCAGCAGCTCCCACGTTCCAGCTTCCTATCCTCCTCCTTGTCACCAATAATTATTATCATCATCATAATCACAATCACAAAGCCTTTAACAAAACAATGTGAGAACAGCAAATCTTTGAAAGTAAATGTTAATTAAACATCATTAATAAAACATCAGTTTTCACTCTATGGAGAAGTGTGGACATTATCATATGAGACATGCAAACATTCAGGACTCTAGTGCTTGGTTCTACAGTTATTCTGAGGCTCTCCCTCAGAAACCACTGTACTGAAGGAAGAGCTCAGCAGAACACCCCATTCTTCTCGGAGAGTTGAGATGCTGTTTCTTTGGCTGGGGAACTCATTCACCTCAAGGACAAGCTAAGGATGGATCAGGGCTCTAGTGGATTAACTGAAACTCCCTCCAGAGAGCCCGAGAGCAACCTCTGAGACTGAGCTGACTGAACTCATGCTGCTTTCATCCATGCTATAAAATTGTCTTCTGGGGAATTGTAGAATTTGTCATTTCAGCACCCCAGTGCTTCTGAGAGCCTGCAGAGTAACCTACGGTCGGAGAGAGAAGCTCATGGCCACCGAGCCCTGTGGTTTCATGTGGGAAGCAGCTGGTGATAGGAGACTTAATAGAGTCTTTAAGTTTCTCTTTTCTACAAATGTCTCAGACAAGACCACAGATCACTTATTTAGCCATTACTTCTCTACCTTCAAACAGACCACAGCCAAGATTTTAAAATAGAATGTGAGGAATCTTCAAAAATTTCAAGTAAAATGTGAACTGTAAAAAGACTATGCGTGGATTTCAATCGGGGGTGGGGGCAAAAGTAAACTTGGACTTTAATTACATTTTCCGTGAATTCATTTAATTTTTTTAGAGAGATTTTTGCTATAGGGCAGGTGTGTTCACCAGAGAGACAGAAAGCAAGAATCACACCCAACGGAGGATGGCCGCACTGCAATCCTTTTTTCTCCATTCTCCTCTTGGATTCTAGGCATGCATACACACACTCCTGGTCTGAGTTTCAAGGCACTGGGTCTGGGATTAGAACTGCAGTCAGCCATATGGTAGTCCAGCAATGTAACAACTGTAATGGTCTCAATTTTTCTATGAAGTTTTAAGAGTCTCCTTTTATATGAGTCCTGGAGAGATAAAATTCATGTCTATGGTAGTCTTATTTTGGCTATCAATTTTTGAGCACCTACATTGTGTAAGGTACCAGTAGGCATGTTATATGCAGTGACTCAGGTATTCCTTTTGCCCAATGTTGTGAAATATTTCGAAGCTATAGAAAAATAGAAACAAGAGTGCCAAGGAGACCTGTAAATCTTCCATTCAACATTTGTTTATATTTTTCTTCAGATAGATTGATAGATACCTTACAGGTATGTGATAGATATGTATATAAATAGTATATGTATAATCCCATATATTTTTAAGTTTATTTCTTCCATGAGCAAGAGAGACAAAGAGACAGAAAGGTAGAGAGACAGCAACACCAGCTGGGTCTTCATTCTGCAGTCCACTCCAACCCTGGATCATGGATACATGCATGCCCAGAATCTCAAGAAGGTCTCCATATGAAAACCTAGAGGCTTTCCATATGGGTCAGCCTTGCATAGGGTTGCATTTTACTGCTGCACCACCATCTGGCCTCAATACAGTATGTTTAACTATTTGAAAGTAAATTGCAGAAATCATGACATTGATGTCTAAACTTTTTAGCATAGATGATCTACAAATAAGGACATTCTTGTATATATCCACAATACCATATAACATCTAAGAAATTTAGCATTAATTTTTAAGTGATCTAATATACATAGTCCATGTTCATATTTCTAATAATATTAATCCTGATTCAATATGATCCAAAATGCAAGAAATTTTGGGCAGGAATATTTCAGGGGTGGTGATAAATATTTGTCATTATGTCTTGTTAAGAGGTACATAGTGGGGACCCTTCAATTGTTGATGCTACTTACCATCACATCACTTAGGTAAGATGGGGACTGTCTGTCTCCCTACTAAATGCAGTATCTTTTCTCCTTTGTAAGGTATCTGTGCAGTGGTACTTTGAGATGAGATGACTATCTTATTACCCCAAAACTTTCCATGATTTTAGAACCCTTTTATAATCCTCGCCTGTACCAATCATTATCTTGGTGCTTATGAAATGTGACGTTTAAATCTATCATTTCTTCTACATTTATTAATTAGGATGCTTTATACAAAATCTTTACTTTCTTCATGTTTCCCTCGTTTTTTAGTATCCCTATTAATTCATTGATTATTTTTTGACTCAGTGCATTAAAATTCACTA